TACAGAGGGAATCCAGCGTACGCGCAAGAGCCACCTGTTGACCTGCTTGCTTCAGTGTGCGAACATTGAAGGTGGCTAAGTAGACAGGCTTCCGGGTTTGAAAACAGACTTCGAAGTGTTTAGGGTTGTAACCGAACTCGGACGTGCAGAAGCTGCAGCTGAGTGTGATGAAGGCGAGCAAAACACCGCAAGGCAGCGGTGTTCGGCCGGAACTGCAAGTACATTACCTTTTTTTACGGAACACGTCGCCATACATGTTCCAACCCCCAACCTGGAGGGCCAGAAGACTGTGTTCGTCGGACCTTTACCCATGGACCAACCTGGTATGAGAGACTCTGTGAGCATCGTGTGGAAACTCCCCAGTATAGCTCAGTGGGTCGCCGAGGTACACAAACCGCCACACCACGGTAAGGTCCAGTCTCTTCGTGACGGCAGGAGCTCTGATTAAAACACGAAAACTATACCATCAACACGACTGTGATAGCACGCAAAGATCACTTGAACGCCGAATAATGAAGATTCCGAGGAGTGATAAAGCGCTGGTGGATCAAAAAAAGCCTTAGAAACGGAGAGAGCTTCTCTAACGAAAAAGCAGTCACACCCTGTTTCGTCTAATGCGGTCAACTGGTCGGAGGAGGGTGAAACGATCTTTGAGAAGTATGGGACGAACAGTGTGACTGCGCCACTCCTTCCATCGACCAACAGCGGTCGTCTTTCTCTGTCTGTTGGTCGTCAGAAACTGTGGCGGTGTCTGGCGATGAAGAGTGTCCCTCCTAAATTTCTTTATAAAGGCTCTATATACCTTTAGCCGTGTATGCGTAGTTGCCTCGGGAAAATTTTCTGGTGAGTTTACGACACCCAGGGTTATCAGGCAAGGATCTCCTCTGTCGCTCTTTCTCTTCAGTCTCATAATTTTTGTGCTGGTTTAATCTTCTTTAGCTGCGTCTAATACCTCGGTGATTGAAATACTCGCGGGGCGTTCGCTCACGGACACTGAGTACGCCAATGATATTGCTCTTCTTTGGTCAGGCGCTTGTGAAATGCAAACTATTTCAAATAACCTAAACATTTCCGCTGCATATTCTGGCGTTTGCTTGTAACGTGTAAAATTTTGAAGTTTCACTTCAAAAGTGGTTGAGATCCGACCCAAATCTCATGGTGGGAACTGACCGGTTAAGTAGATAAGTTCGTTTGTCTGGGCAGCTGCAATAGTTCCGGCGGACAGGAAAAAGGCGGAATAATTCCCTGATATGAGAGGGTGCTCGGTATTCGCACAATAAAATTGAATTTTCGAAAGCTGTGACGTGTCTTTGATGGACTAAAGCAATCGGGCACTTGATTTCGGAGTACAAGTCCAAACTTTTAGCCCCTTTAGGTATCCCGAGGTCTCAGGGGTACTGGAAAATCATCCCACCAGATTTTTCCACCAGAGGTATGATTGCTTCAGCGGCCAATGTAATTTGGTGAGCTGCAAAAACTTCTATTCTGGTTGCAAAGGTTTTCCGACTACGAGCATTGTGCAGCCAGTGGGTACCGATTGAGAGTGATAGGGCAGCTTTTTTCCAACTTCCGGCATTCGTTATGCCGACGTGATATCAGCTTGACTTTTATGGATATAGTGTATAATGCTGCGGTCCGATCTGTCCTACCTCACTGACCAAAGACGTGGTCATTGTGCGCAGCTATCTGTTTGGCGACACTTGTCTCGGAAGCATAGGGTGAGTGTAGCGGAAACACCAGGTCAGTATTGTTGAATCAGGGGGCGAGATGGCCCAGTGGTTAGAACGCGAATCTACTGGCCTCTCGAATTTCCCTGTCTAGGCTCGGACAACCCGGCAGTATCTCAGCCCTCATGCTTCTTCCACGTCGCATGGCAGCTAAGAACCGAAAGGGCGTTACGTCTAAACGATCACTATTATATTATTGCTGAAGCACGCCAAATGGAAAGTCCATTCTCCTCCATAGGTGAACTGGTCCTACTGCATAGGTCATAATGATTAGGCCATGTACACCAGAGGGCCGTCTGTCTCGTAGAGCCCTCTTCGGATAGAGGCGATCGAAAGTTGGTCAACCCATGATTTGGCGACGAAGCATGACAGGCCTCATCCATCAATCGATCCACGTTGGTAACTGTCGTCTCGCGTGGGAGCCGAGGAAAGAGACAAGCCAAAGACTAGTGACCCTTACAGATATAGATGTCACACAGCCAATGACGGTCTTATATCTGGCTATCGCCTTGACTGTGCAGCTCTCATTCACCTCCTTACTGGATGGACAACCAACTGGCGTCAGTGATTTGATTGGACGATCTCCCCTGGGCAGGTGCCTCTCATTCTCTTATCTTCAGTGAACGAAATTGTAGCAGCCGGGACCACTGCACTTCAGTACACGTTTCGTGAGCTCAAAAACCGAGCTGAACTGAAACTACGCCACGAATACTGAAGACTGACCATCTCAGTTCTTCTTGACTTCTTTCGGCGCTGTATTGTGAGATTGCATGGTGAAAAATTGAATGCCGGATAAGTTCGTCAGTATGATGAAGTTGTTGTACATTCACATCTGTGCAAACGTGGACCTACGGTAAACTTTATTGACGCCTCAGCATTTCGAGCGGAGCAGGACAATGGTGTCTGTTATCCCCGTTCTTATTCGGCGTTTTCATCTCCACGTCGTCAGGGACATGATGAGCACTGTAACGAACAACGGTGTAGAAATACTCCTATTTGAACCAACCGGATATTTTAAATGTGCGGATGAAATAGTCCTGGTGTGTTACTCAACACTGGAGGGCGCAGAACACTTAATAAATCGATAGATTCTGCCATCCTATTTGGTTTTATTGTCTACTCCTAGGAGACTAATCTCTAGCAAGGTTTTACTGTAGCTGCGATCTGAAGAAGTTTCCGGTCATCGCCAAAGATGTCACAGATTTTACCGCTCCCTCACTTGTAGATTCGACGAGATAGCCGTCTTTCGTGCATAACACCATAGTGTTCCCATAATACGAAGTGATTCTGAAGGGTGATTGTCCCGGTGGAGGATGTCTACGGACAAACTTGCTTCTGTCACTGCTAAGAAAAATGGCTCACATCAAAACTAGCGTTCGATATCGTGTGTTTGGAGCTGGCTGTCAGTGTTAACCTCTAAGCTGTTCATAGAGATAACAACTATCGTTTGGTCATGCCCTTCCTGATCCCACGTAGAGCTGTCAACTTGACGTGATGGGCTTGAGCATTGCGACGATCGGCACTGCTCCAGGCGGAGTAGGATACAGGGGACAGAACGCCTTGTTGTTCAAGCTGTTGAAGTTTGCCATCTACCAATGGGAGGGAAGCCTACGGAACTGGTCTCTGTGGGCGAAAGACTGGCGTATCACCTGGCATAGGGTGGAGGTTGTTGTGTCTTAGTGTACTGACCGAGACCGGATTGGAAAACAACTGAAAATCGCTTGATAAAATCGGATGCATGATCTGGATGCGCCGTGATAGACTGAACTGCATTGCAAATGACACTAATTGGAGTGTCGGCTGATCCGTATATACATATATATATATATATATATATATATATATATATATATATATATATATGGTCACTTTTCTATAGATCGCCTGTTGTTCGGAGCATTGAAGTTGTGTCCAAGATTTCGTCTTCTTACTATTTCGCTGCACTGAGCGTTGGGATCAGACAACATAGCTGGGGATAGAATACCGTCACAGTCCGCTCATATTATCGTTTGCTCACCGCGTTATCGAAACATACCATATTTGGCGACGCAAGATGGAGGCAGATCAACTCAAAGTAATGCTTGAGCAACAACTGCAACCCATAAAAGTACGTACTATCAACCACATCTTTGGCTTCACCGGCTGCGTCGAGCGTCCCACAGTCGGTTGACGGAATCACTAGCAGTATCAACGAGTTTTGCCATGAACCCTCGGCTGGCATACCGTTCGATGCTTGGTTTCGTCGCTATAAAGATCTGTTCAGGGTCGACTTTTCAATCCAGGATGATAGTTGGAAGGTTCGCTTCCTGCTCCACAAACTTGGGCCCACAGAGCATGATAAGTAAGCTAACTATATTCTTCCAAAGGACCCACGTGACTTCAATTTTGACGAAACGGTTCACACGCTTTCACAAATATTTGGCAAGCAAACGTTAATTTTCAACATCCGAATAAATCGGTCTCAGTATTTTGTTCCGAAGCAAAACAAAGGCCCAAGACCACCTCCGCAATGTTGGCACTGTGGAGCATGGCAAGCAGCATCGGTGCCGTCAGTTTAAGTTCGTGGGACACAAAGATGGGTACCGTCAGTCATGGATGCACACGGCCTCTGGTATTTCACAGCTGTCATCATGCGTCTGTTCCAAACCGAAATCGAACCCTGTTGGATCCTCTCTCAGTTAGCTGGCTACTTTCTAGATCAACACATCATGTCACCGAAAGTATCTCACAGTCACCGTCAGTGGTCATCCAGTCCGTCTACAGTTGGGCACTGTGTCGGACATTACCATAGTCTTGGGTCCACACTACGCAGGACCGATAAGTGTCCTTTTTGGTTTTGATTCACGCTTGTTCCCAGTGACCCAAAATCATTCCCGTGTTTTCTCCAACAATATTTAGTACACCGCATGTGTTACTCTGCATTTCCAGCCAACTGGCTTAGAGGAGTCCATCGTTTCATAAAATGGTTCGCAGTTCACCTCCACTGAGTTCCGCGAGTTTTGTACTCGACATGCTATAACACACGTTCGTCCACCACCGTACCACCAACAATAGAATGGTCAATCAGAGAGGTTCGCTGACACATTCAAGAGGGCCTTGGTTGAAGCTTGAGGGTAGGAGACATCCGTCGAAGCCCTTCAGAGATTCCTGTTTGTGTACCGAACGACCCCGAATGATGCTTTGGCGAAACACCAGTCACCTGAAGAGGCACTCATGGGCCGTAAGCTGAGAACTGTGCATTCTTTTATGTTGCCAGCAGTCTAATGAATCAAAGTTCCTACCGGTGGCTGGTGGAGGTCTATTCAAGGTGGGAACATCCGCACTTGTCCGTGATTATCGCCCGTGACACGATGCGTGGATTACAGGTCGTATCTTGCGCAAAGGTGGTAGTGTGATGCATGACGGGTCGGTTGGTCAAGACACTTGGACCAGACACCAAGACCAACTCTGCTTTAACAGCACGCCGGAAACTGAAGTATGTTCAGGTACCGTACCGTTGGACATATTGCTCGACACTTTTGATCTGAAAGGAGCAAGTGTGATCGGCAGCTCAGCTCATGATCCAGCACTTCTTCCCAGGGGATGAACAGATCATATATTTTGATCGAGTGTGTCAACAGAATCGACAGAAGGTGAGGGCTCCCAAAGGACATTTCAAAGAGTTAAAATTTATTTTTTCTTCTGAAGCATTCCGACAAACATCAAGACGATATCAAGACAATTGGGGGGGGGGGCCCAGGG